CGTGTCGCTGCGTAACGGCGCCGTGCTGTACGTGATGGGCGGTGGAGCGTTGCGCGGTGCGGCGGCTACGGGGAGCGACGAGAGCGGGTCGGTGGAGCTGTCCGTGTGCGGTGTGGAGGCGCTGAACGGTGCGCTTGTGCTGACCGGCACGTATCCCGTGGGGTCCGTGCTGACGGTGACGGACTCCCTGCTGGTTTCCGCGAGGCCGACGCCGCTTGTGTATCTTTCCGGCTCGCAGTCCTCGCCGTACGCACCGGTGCTGGTGCTGTCGGGCCTGCGGCTCGTGCGGTCCGTGCTGGTTGTGTTCGGCGTTGCCCTCGTGACGGTGATGACTGGTGGGCGGACGGTGGTGGTGGACGGCGCGGTGCTGGAGCTCGTCGGTGGCGGTGTCGCGCTGGACGCGGCTGTGTTCGGTGGCGAATATGCATTGTACGCGAGTGCGCGCGTGGTTGCGTCGGAGGGCGCTGTGCTGCGCGTGTCGGGGAGCCAGGTGTACGCCGCGCATGGATTGGTGTTCGACAACGGGGTGATGGCCAACGCGTCCGCCGTCGTAGTGAATGACAACGCCGGTGCGCTGACGGATGGCGCGCTGTTGGAGCTGCGGGAGATGGCGTCGTTTGTGTCCGGGTCGTGGCTGTCGGTGCGCGGCAACAGCATCAGTGGCAGGCTCCTGTCGGTGCCGTCGTACCCGCGCCGTGCGGAGCTTGTGCAGAGCACGCTGACGCTTCACAAGAACGCTGGCAGCGGACCCGTCGTGATGGACGGCACCGTTGCGCTCGGGGGCGCCGGCCGAGAGTTCGTTGTGGGGTGCCTGACGCTCAACGGGCAGGCGCTGCAGCCGATCGACTACAGGTCCGCCGGCATCATTGGGAAATTCCGCCCCGTGGCGTGCAGCGTGTGCGACGCCGACGTGCACTGCTTTGCTGCCGCGACGAGGGCGATGTCGGGGTCGTGCGGCTGCCGCTGTGCTGAGGGCGGGTACGGGCTCGACTGCCTGCCGGTGTACCTGCCGCACGTGGACGGGTGCAACCGCACGCCCGAGAAACCGCTGCTGAGCCACACGGCGACAGTGACGGCGACGCTGACACCGACGCCAACGTGGACGCCGGGCATGAGCGCGACGCGCTACAGTCCAACGAACTACGGACCGACGGAGACGCTGCAGGTGACAGAGACGGTGACGCTGCTGCCCACGCCGACCCCGGCAGCGTCGGTTACGGCGACGGAGCCGCCGACCGCGACAGTGACGGCATCGGATTCACTGAGCATGAGCCTGTCGGTGAGCAGCACGCCGTGGTGGAGCGACGTGGCGTGCCCGACACTCACCGTGACGACGACGGCGGCTGGTGGGAGCCTGACGCAGAACGACATTCGCGGCGGTGGGAGCGCCGTCCCGACGCGGCTGATGGTGGCGCTGCCGCCGCCGTTCCGCTGGGCAAGCGACCCGCAGCTCGGCACGCACCTGAGCTTTGTGCCGGTGGCGACGGCGCAGCCGACCGGCTTTGGTGGTCTGTGGGGAGCGATGCTGAGCAACGCGACGTGGGTGCGCAACGCGACGAATCCTTTCACCGTCCTGGAGCTGGCTGTGCCCGTGCACCGCGGTTACTTCATTGGTGCCGACGAGACGATAGTCATTCGCTGCGACGCTGTGGCGGTGTTTGGCGGCTGCAAGGGTGTGCTGCTTGGGTCCTTCACGATCGCGTCCGACACGCTACCCGCCGTTGCCAACACCCTCTCGGCGATCACCGGCGTTGTTGCGGGTGCGGCGGCTGTTGCCGTGGTGGTGACCGGCGGGCTGGGCTCCATTCTGGAGATGCAGGCGCTCGGCATGTTTGCGAGGATGCCATGCGCCTCTGCGTAGGAGCGTGCGAGCACCGTTGCGCTGCCGTACTTCCTGTCGTTGTTCGCTGCCCTTGATCCGCTGTGGATGGTTGTGGGCAACGCGCTGCTCGCCGCGGTGTTCGGCTGCGTGCACTACGGTGTGACGGCGGCCTTCCAGCGGTGGCGCGGCGTGGACGCAGCGACTGCGTGGGCGGCGATGCGCTTCCCGAGCCTGACGTACGTCGTGGCTCACGCGATGCACCTCGGCATATTCTTCGGCTCCGTGTTTGCACTGGCGATGCCCGGTGCCCGCGCGCAGCACTACGTGATTGGTGTCGTTGGCGTGCTGTACGGTGTGGCGTTCCCTGCTGGCGTGTGCTACTTGATTGCCCGCCACACGGGCGCGAGCTTTGCGAAGTACTGGCAGTTTTCGGGGAAGCCGCTGCACGAGCGCCTGCTGTACCCCGTCGGGTATTGGCACCCCGCGGCGCAGCAGCGGATGTACGGCGGCATGCTGACGAACATGAGGGGCAGCCACGTGTACTGGTGCGTGTTCCAGCTGTCGGTGCTGTGTGTGGTGGGCCTAATTGCTGCTGTGCACCCGCCAGTGGGAGTCTGCCACGTCCTGTACTTCTGCATGGCTGCCGTGCTGCTTGCGGGTGCGGGCGTGGTTGCCTTCACGAACATGATGCGCTCGGCCTTCCTGACGGTGATGCACACGGCGAGCTTTGTGCTCCTTGCGGCGCTGTGCCTGACCAGCGCGGCCAACCACCTTGCGCCGAGCGACGGCGGTGCGAGGGCGTACGCGGCTATCGTGCTGCTGCTGACGACTGTGCTGCTTGCGGCCACTGTGTACAGCATCGTTGTGTGGTACGTGGAGGACCGCCACTGGCAGGAACTGCGCGAGCCGCAGCGTGGAGGGCTGGATGCGCTGCTGCGCGATGACGAGGAGAGCGACGAAGAGTTGCGGAAGCACCACGACAGGACATCATCGTCGTACGCTTCAGGCACCGCCGGCGCGTCGTCGTACCGACCACCCGCACCGCCGCGGTGGGAACGCATCATTGGTAGCAACGAAGGCAACCCGGATACCATTGACCGTCAGCCGCAGCCACTGGCAGTCGACACCCACTCCAACGCAATAAGCTTCCTGGACCGTGCATCAACTACAAGTGGGAGCGTGAATCACGCTATCCCGTGATATGCGCCACGTGAAATTTGTGTGCGGTGCTGGCCGATGGGGGGAGATGGCGCGGGGCCACGGCTGCTGCGCGCCACGGCCAGTCATTGTATGGCGCACCAACAGTGTCGTTCATTTTTGTTTTCATTGGTTCTTGTCTATTAATTCTTTTCTGCCAGTGTTTATTTGATTGCCTTGTAATTACCAGTGATTGTGCAGGGGCTACGCGTGTGTGGCTTGGCTGCGGCAGAAGTGAGCGCTTGGGTGTTGGATCCCGCTGCGTGTATTTTTTTTTTTCGTGCTGCATCAGGTGGTGTGTGCTGTCCCGAAGTCCTGCCTCTCTTCTCCTGCCTGTTTGTTTTCCGTCCGGTGTGGCACTGCGGTGCACGGGCGAAGTAGTCGGTTGGATCCTTTTGTGGTGCGTCGCATCTCACGCTTTGCTGCGCCGTTGGTTTGTGGGGGACGAAGTTGTGCCACGACGCGTGGGGATGATGCCAGCCGCACAGAGCGCAAGGAGGACGTTGTGACGCCGTGGGGTGTTGCCGCCACGGGCCCAAGGGGTGGGGACGATGGCCGCGTCCTCACACGATTCAGGTCGGAGCCCGTTGATGAGCCCCTTCTGCAGCGGCTGGAGGAAACATGCAACGGAGGGGGGAGCACGCGCAGGCAACCAACACCGCACAAGGGGAGGCGGGACGAATGGCATTGCACCATTTTTTCCGCCGCGGCATCGTCTTCTCCCACAGGGATTTTGGAGCCGCCCTTGACTGCGTGCGTGCGTCCTTTGCGACGGGGACACACCGCGCGTACTTGTACACTGGTCGTGGACCGAGCGCGGTCGATGCACATTGGCCATGTCATGCCGTTTTTATTGACGCGGTACCTGCAGGATGCGCTCGGTCTTCCGTTGGTGATCCAGATAACCGATGATGAGAAGCACTTCTTCCGCGACATTCCTGTCAGCGGGGAGAGGGCGAGCGGGTTGGTGGTGGAGAACATAAAAGACATCATTGCCTTTGGCTTCGATCCACGCAAGACATTTATATTCCGCAACACGATGTACATGGGGGACATGTACCCAACTGTCGTGCAGGTGCAGCGCATGTTGACGCTGAGCGCTGTGAAGAATGCATTTGGCCTGAAGGATAGCGACAATGTTGGAAAGGCAGCCTTTCCAGCGGTGCAGGCCGCACCGTGTTTTAGCAGTGCCTTCCCCCGTGTGCTACGACGGCTAGCTGGGACCCGCCGCTGAAGTGCATCATTCCCTGTGCAATTGATCAGGACGCTTTTTTCCTCCTGGCACGCAACGTCGCGCCGCGTATGAAGTGCTGCGCCCCCGCACTGCTGCACACAAAGTTCCTCCCCGCACTGAAGGGAGCGCAGTTCAAGATGAGCAGCAGCGCCCGGGGAACGGAGTCATCACACTACACGACACGGAGCAGGAGGTGCGGAAGAAGGTGCGCAAGGCCTTCTCTGGTGGGGGTGGCACGTTTGAGGACATGCGTGCGGAGGGTGTCAACCTGCACGCAGACGTGGCGTACCGACTCATTCGGTTCTTCTGCCCCGACGACAATCTCCTCGCGGAGGTGACGTCGAAGTACAGCAGGGGTGAGATGAGCAGCGCCGAGGTAAAGGACCTCGCCGCGGATGTCGTTGTGCGGCACGTCTTGTCGGGGTGGCAGGCGCGGCGGGCTGGCGTCACAGATGCCGACGTGGAACACTTCTCCGGCATCCGCAGCATTCTTCTGTGAATGCCGGCAGGAGGGAGGAAGGGATGATGGGAGAGAGAGGGCGCACATGCAGCGGGAGTGGTGTGGCTGACTGTGGTGTCCGTGAAGATGATGCCTGTGGGTGGGGGCGTGTTGGTTGTTGTGGTGCCCACCGCGTATATTTGTTTACTGTGGCTTCTGCTGGACTGCACGTGAACGCCTGGTGTTCCCCTTGCAGTTGTACAACAAGTATTTTAGACCAACAGTAGATAGGGAGCTATTAGGCTGCAATGGGGCGGGGGCCGCACCACGATGGCACGCGCCACGGGAAGGATGGCCGCGGGATTTTCCGAGGGAGGAGGGGTGCGACACGACCTTACGAAAACGTTGATGGGTGCGGCATTTGCTGCGGGGATTGTTCAGGAGATGTAGCGGACGCTTCTGCCGCTAGGGGCTATGCCACTCGGGCACGTGACGCGCTACAGGAGAAGTGCATTCGATTGGCGTTTTGCAGGGCGTTCCCACACAACAACCGAGTGCGCGTGCACACCACGTTTCTCACCCTCGCTGGAGTTGATTTCATTCTGGTGGAACGCACCATCACTGGCTGCGACGACGCGGTGTACCGTGCGAACCGCGACGTGTGGGAGCATGTTCCTCGCGGTCAGGCCAGTGTCCTCATTGCGGATCCTGGGGAGGGTGCACCCCGCCTGGTGGCGACACTTCAGGGCCTGCGGAAGTTCGGTCACTTCGACGCGCCGTATGGTGTGGAATGCGGGACGCCTGTTGTGGCGGTGGCACTTGAAGCAATCGACGGTGACTGCGGCCACGTCACGGCCTTCGCACACGACGGAGAGCGATTCTGGCTGGTAGGAACCAAAGACGTGCACATGCTAGTGCGCTTTGATGTGCCAGAGGAGGATCTTGCCCTTTACGGTGTGGATGAGGGCGTCTCGTGGCGCGCTGCGGTTCCCAAACGTGTGGTGGGCGTCTGGCGAGACACGTTGCGTGCGCTGCCGGAGGGAAGGGCCGCTGCTCTGCATGACTATTTGGGCACTACGGGGCGCACCGCATGCTTTGATGGTATTCTGCGGGAATGTGGACACCTCGCCGACCACGGACCCCGTGAGACACTGAAGTTCTACGCCGTTACCTGCCGTGGTGCGACCCCGCATGAAGGCCTCTGTGCCGATCCCGCGAGCAGCATGGCGGCACTGCAGTCCTTCGGTCTTGACGTTGTGACGCCGCAACCGGCAGTAGAGCTGGGGACAGACGAATACGCAGTCCTGCGAGACGGCGTGGCGCGTCGTCTTAACTGTGAGGGTGCGGTGTTGTACGGCTGCAATGAGGCGGGGGTTGTTGTGCGGATGTGGAAGCAGCGGTCCCACGCATACGCAATGGAGCGTGCGGCGCAGGAGGCCATCGTCACGCACCGTTTGTGCGGTGTGGCGCTCCGCTCGAGGCTCGCAGGCAAGCTCGCCGGGCTGCCAGAGGAGGTGCGCCGGTGCCTCGGCGACTGGGAAGCGGAACGCCTCGAATATCTTGTGCAGTTTGCAGCGTGGCTGCATTTGACACGGCGGCAAACGGCGCGAACGGACCTTGGCGGGCTGCAGGACCTGCGCCGCCGATGGATCACGCTGCAAAACCAGTTCGCGCAATGTGTCGCCGCCGATGCGCACGTGCGGTCCCAAGTGATGCACTACGAGCCGTCCGGTGACGACGCCGTCACCAGCGACCCCGACGCTGTCGTCTGCGTTGGTCCGCAGGGCTGCGGCAAGTCCACATTCTCCCGCACCCTGTACGCTCTGCTGCGCCAGGCAGGGCTTTCGCCATGTTGGATCAACCAAGACGAGGCCGGCGGAGGGCGGCAGTTTCTTGACGCCATTCGGCACGCGCAGCGAGGTGGCCACACACACCTTATCATTGACAAGATGAACCTCGATGAGGCCGCACGCGACGACTACGCCGATCTCGGACTCAGGGCATTGACAGTGGTGTGGTCACACCCCGACGGCACGGATGCACTGGTGGACATCTGCTTCGACCGAGTCCGTCGCCGTGGTTCTGCTCACCGCACTTTCAAGGCGGACAGAAGGGAAGGGCGGCGCGTGCGTCAAACGCTGCTGGACTGCGCGACGCGGTGCCGTCCGCCAACCGAGGGGCCGCTGATTGAGGTAAGCGTGACAGACGACACTGCCACCATTGCACGGCGCGTTTGGGCTGAACTTTCCGCACGTGGTTTGACGGACATACCCGAAATTGAGACACTCGACATGGCGGCAGCATTGGGCGTGGCGAACGCCTACGAGTCTTTTCTGTGCCGTTTCCCCCGCCACGTGGAGTATGCCGCAATTCAGATTGCGTCACCCGAGCGGGTTCTCGAGCTTGTGCCGCCAGAGATGCTGGCCGGCAAGAAGGTGCAGAAGGCCTTCCATGTGACGACGCTGTACCTGGGTCGTGACGCCTGCAAGGACCCTGTCCTGCTGCAGCAGCTGGTGGGGCTGCTGGGCGAGTCCATTGAGCTCACGCTGACGAGCGTTGCGTCTGATCCGAAGGGGACGGCGATCGCGGTGCGCAACGAGGGAGAGTTCCCCTGCGAAAATGTTCATCCACACATCACCATCGCGAACGCGCCGGGTGTTCCGCCTGTGTACAGCAACGAGCTGCTGGACGATTCCCATGCGGATGACCCGTGCCGCACCGTCGTCAGTCTCCCCGCCGGCACACGCGTCACCGGGACATTTGTCTTCAGGTAGCCGTGAGGGACACTGCGGTGCTCGCCGCTGGCTGCAGTGGCATCCTGTGCCACCCCATGCTGGGCTCGTGGGTGCTGGTGGCCGTGGTGGTGTAAGCACCTGCTTTGTGACTGCATCGCCGAGTGTAGTGCATGACGTTCCCACACTCCCGTGGCGACCCCGCTTCCCACATTCAGTATTGTGATGGTTCTATGGACTTCCGCTGTTGTTTTCTAGGAGCCTGTGGAGGGGATGATCGCGAGGAGGGCTGGCTATTTAAATTAATATGTATCCTGATAAAACGAATACACTTTTTTACGACACTTTTATACCGCATGATTTTTGGCATGACCACGGCTGTAGGGGATTAGGGAACCGATAGCGACCAGATAATTTTATAAATTTAATTTTACCATCTCACCCACTCTCTTTTGATTCCCACATTGCGGTGGGGTCTTGTGGCTGGAGAGCCCCAAAGTTTGACAGTTCGTAAATTATTAATATATATATGTATGTATATATGTATCCAATCCGAATAGAGCGCAGCATGTCACGAGAGTGGCTATCGGAATACATATGTGTACATATACTTACTTGGGGCAAAGCTTGAGGGTGTGGTGAGCCCACTGCTTTTTCACTTACCCCTCTTCCTCCTGTATTGCTTGATTCTCGTAAATAACTTTACGATCCGGTCAATCGCCCCAGGCGAATGTTTGCTTCTGTTTGCTCTTACCTCCCTCTGGTGCGAATCGGCCTGCCTCTTTGATTGGACGTCTTTCTTATGCCCCAAGCAAGGTGACACATGTTTTATTATTGCGGCTGCGCGCCGCAGCCATCCATCGCTTCCTTCGCCGGCGGTGTCTTTGATTGCTGGTTTGCGTGGCGTGGTGTTAATTTGTGCGACTGCTCGTGTGACTCACTCGTATTGCAGGATGGCTGTGTGGGAGGAGCTCTTTCATTTTCACGTTGCCGCGTAACCGAGGGTGAGTGCTGGTAGCCACTGAACGGCGTTGCGCCTTGTGTGCCGGCTGCTGTGCTTCCACGTTGTGCTGAGATGCTTGAGGGGTCAATTGTTTTTTGTTTTTTCTTTTTGTTTGCATCCCACTCGTCTGGTCATGGCGGCTGCAACGAGACTCTACGGCAGCCTGATCGTTGCGGGCGTTACGTCTCCTGCTGTTGTCTCCTCGTTGTGTCGGTGGGGAGGAGGCGGGCGACGGCGTCGGTGGAGTGGCGCTGCGGTGGGAGAAGGAAGGCACTGACCGCCGCTGACGGCGACCGTCTTTGCTGCCGGCGATCTGACGAGATGACCTCACCGTTGTCACACCCAACCGGGACCGATGCGGGCCGCACCGCCTCTCTCTTCCCTCCCTCCATCCCCCAGTCTCCTCCAGACACACGAACTGCGCGGCGGCGGCGTGATTACAAACCGGACGTCTGAAAGTCAACCGACCGCAGAGTCGATGTGGACCCTTGTCCCCCGTGGCTGAGTGCCGCCACCGTGCTTCTTTGTTCCTCCCTTTTGCCCTTGTGCATGCCGTGCGCGCATGATGCCGCTCTTTGTTCTGCAATGCCGACCCACGTGAGCGAGAAACGACGCCTTGACTAATGGCAACTGACGCACTCACCGCCCCACTTCCGCGCCACCACCACCACGTTCACGGACGCGCTCGATGGCTGGCGGTTGCAACAATGCCACGTGTATCTGCCTCGGCTTTTGTGTGTTGTCCACGGCATCGGGGTCGTCATGTGTTGGAGGCATTTGGTGAGGAGGGCGGTGCCAATGGTCATGTGCCTCTTGGCCGGGGTCCCGTCGCTCTGCACGGCGGTTGTGCGGCGCTGCGCGGGCGGTGGGAGGCCGATGGCATCACTGGGCTGACTGCGTCTGCGCGTCTTTTTGTCGCTGGCTGTGATGTGGAATATATGTGGCCGGATGCCGCCGCATGCTACTGTGTCTGGCTACTGTTGTTGCTGCCTCTTCCTTGTTTTACCGTGCAGATAGAGATACTGTGGCTTGACCACAACAACTAGCGTTTCAAGGTTTTAGTAATTACTCGCAGCAGTTGTAGTATTATTAGTAGAAGTAGCAGTGGGATAACGACCTGGCGGAATCGGGTCACTGTATTTGGCATCTGTAGGAAGGGATTTGCGGAGCAGGAGGCACGGTCGACGAGACGAGTGCGACACACCACGACAGCCCTGTTGATACCTGGTTGGGTTGGTGGATGTGGTCTGCGGTGGGTGCGTGTCCGCGCAGCCGGCACCGCGTGCGGCGCAGGGCCATTGCGACTGTGCGTGTGGCGCTGCTTGTTCTGTTGGCGCTGGTTGCGGCGGCGGCGTGGATGCCCGCGGTGCATGCGGTGCCGTTGCGACTGCGGGGCGGCACGGTGGACAGAGCCATCACGGTGGGCCGCGCCGTGGACACGGTGCTGATGGACGGCGTGTACGTCACGAACGGCGTGGCTGTTGTGTTCGACGTGCCGGCGATGCTTCCCGGCGCGCTGCGCATCGAACTGAGGAACTGCGTGTGCGACGGCGGTGCGCAGATCTACGTGCGGGGCTACAGCGGTGAGCCGGCGAGTGACCGGAGCCTGGAGGTGAGCGTGAGCGGGCTGTCGGGGAGCTACTGCTCGCTCGTGTTTGTGCACAACCTGCCGGCACACACGAACGTGACGGTCCGTGACTCGACGATTGTGACGGCGGGACCGATGCGCTACTCGCAGCTGAGCGGGCTGACGGACGCGGTGGCGTCGCCGCTTGTGCTGCACGCGATGTCGCTGTTGCAGTCGCAGCTGCGTGTGAGCAGCACTGTGCTGAGGTCGTCGCAGGCGGGCGGGACGGCGGTGTACGTTGGCGGCGGTGTGGACCTGCTGTCGAGCGCGGTGGTGCTTGACGGCGTGTCGCTGGAGGCGTCGGGCGGTCCGACCGCGTCCGCGATGCATGTGTCGTCCTCTTCGCGTCTCAGTCTGCGTAACCACTCGGTGTTCTCCGTGACGAACGTGTCGGTTGTGAGCAGCGGCGGCGGCATTGTGCTTGGAGAGCGCCTCGCGGTGTTTGATTCGGTGCTGCGCTTCGTGGGCGTCAAAGGGTCTCCTGCGTCGCCGCTGGTGCGCTGCGGCGGTGGGACGGTCGGTGCCGGCGGGTGGCTGGTGCACCGCGACAACGAGTTCCGCACCGCCTACGTTGTGTACGTGGAAAAATACGACGGCGTGGCTTTCCGCGATCGGAGTGTGTGGTCGATACTTTACAACAACTTCACGTGCGGCTCCTTTTCGTCGATCACTGCATACATGACAAGTTTTTGGTTTGCACAAGACGACGAACGCCCGATCATCTACGGCAGTGAAAAAAAAAAAGGATTTTTTTCGTGCTCTTCATTTTATTGATTTTTTTTGTTTTGTTTCTCCTCTTTTTTTTTTCTTTTCTTTTTTTTTTAATGTGTGTGTGGGTTTGTTATCGTGTTCATTAGAGTTTTTAGTTGCCTTTAAAGAATTTATATAAATAAGAGAAAAAGTGATGCGCCGTGTTTTTCCAAACGTGGCTTGCCTGTGTTTGGCAAAGTCGAAGCGTGACCTCCACTTCCCTATCACGCCGCCACCTATTGAAATTGAGTACTTGGATGAGGACCCGCTGGAGTTTGCTGTTCGTACGGAGGCCCGTAAGTGGGGATTTGACGACATGAGCTATATGCGGGAACTCGCCTTTGTACGCATCAATAACAATCCGACGGTTGGGCAGTTTCGTACTATGACCCCGGATGAACGGCGTAATCTGTTCTGGGGTAGTGACAGGCAGGACTTTTTCCGGCACCTCACGTTTATGCTCACCGGCACCCCGGAGCATCTCTACCACCGCGGATGGTAGTGGCGATTGGTGTATGTATGTATGTGTGTGTGTGTGTGTGTGTATTCTTAGTGGATATTTTGTGGGGCCCGGTGGGAAAGGGAGTTATTAGGCAGGGTATTGAAATGTTATTTTACATAGGAAGAAGAAGAAGATGGTGGTGGTGGTGGTGGGTTGGGTTTGGTTGTTGATTGTTTTATTTTTACGTGGTGTTTTTATCAGCACGACGATGACGCCTGCACGGTGACAACAGCATAAAATGAATACTAGTAGAAAAGAAGAAA